TTTTTGTTGTTGTGTTGTTGTTTGGAGTGTAAGAAATGGACAAAAGAATGGCTTAAAATGACAAAAGCAAGTATATTAATTGGTAACTTAAGAGGGTATGTGACTAGAATGTTCATAGGATGAACATACGACTGAAATTCAGAACTTCCTGGCAGCAGTTCACTGACGCAGAACTGAGAGCTGCTTTAGTTGTCTATTTGCTGAAGTGTTTCATTAGAAACCTGACAAACTGCTTAGCCCCTTAAAACTTATCTGGAAATGAAGAAAACAATGCCTACTGCAGTAGTTGGGAGGATTTTATGTGAACTGCTACTTTAAAAATCATCACAAAAAAGTATAACTTTGCTATTACTATCTTTAGTATGAGAAAATCCAATATTCTTAACCGTGATTCTCTCAAGCAGACCAATGATTTTACCTATGGTATATTCTTACCTATGGTGAGATTCTTTATAATTTTATAAAGAATTTTATAATTTAAAAAATTATAAACTGATAATTTCTTGTTTATTCATATAGAAGTAAGCTCAATGATAGTCTTCTATTTAGTTCACTGTCAGAATGAAGAAATGACACTTAGGAGTACGTTTTCCAAAGATCCCATGGTCGTTGGAGCAAATGTTCCTTCTTTGACGTTAGGTCTCATTGATCCCCTCCAGAAACCTGGCCTTCTTAAAATTGATTAAGTACTGCTCTCTAATAGTTTGATATATTGAGTTCTTCTTTTTCAGGAGAATTATTTTTAAAATTACAAATGAATTACTGAAAATTATATTCTCTAATTTAAAAAAAGTAATTTGTGTTATGTTTGTTGTGTTTAACTACACTGGTTCAAGCCTAAGCAGAGTTTTAGACTCACATGACAATCATATCTATAATTATTATATTCAGCAACTATATTTGCATGTTATCATATGTGTTTTAAAAATAGGATTACATATTATCTGTGCTCCTTTGGAATTGTGTGTGTGTCCATTACATTTACATAGAATAAACAGTGAAGTCTAAGTTGTTATTCTTAAACATCATGTGGTAAGTCTACTCACTTGTTAGCCAGCTGCTGTTTGCAAATTCATATGGTACTAATAATTTCTTGTAATCACTTTATGATTTCTATCACAGTTTAGATTTGTTTTTAAGGAACAACCACATCTTTCATTTGATTTTTCTTACTTTCCCAAAAAACATTGATTAAAAATATTATAATTAAAAACAGGAATAATAGATTATCTTAACTAAACATGGACTGTTTGTTCGCTTACTCTCAATGTAGACTGCCTGCTAGAAATCAAATTACAAAAACTTTGAAAGAGAGATACCGTATATACTTGATTATAAGCTGAGTTTTTCCAGCACATTTTTAACGCAGTTTTTGTGGTAAAATTAGGTGCTTCAGCAGATATTCTGGTTGGCTTATACTTGAGTATATACGGTACATCTAATTAAAAATATTAGCTATTATAATAATTTCATATTCAAAGGAGACTGGTATATAAATAGCATTCTAAATTAGAAATCTGTGTGAGTAGTAATACAGATTGTCTTGGGGAGTTTGTTTCTACATAAGACTTTATATGTCCCAAAAGAATATCCAAAACTCAAAAACTCATTGCCATCAAGGCAATTCTAACTGCCAGCGACCCTATGTGCAGTTTCTGAGTTACTAATCTTTATGGCAGCAGATAGCCTCAGCTTCTTTCTGTGGAACCACACCCACAGGACCACCAGGGCTGCTTACAAGACCACCAGGTTCATCCAGATCAGGGAGATGAAGGCTACGGAAGTCAGGTTTTTCTTATAGAAGGCTCCATTCAAACTCAGAATACCTAGTCCAGGATAGCTGATTGATGTTTCTGTGTGCTTTTCCTTTAGCACATGGAAATAAAAATAAATGCATTAATTTGAACCCTGTTGCATTACTTTGAATTAACATATCCCTTTGACTGCTTTCGTGTATTCATTTATAGGATATGTGCCAACATCTTGAAGTGAAAACTATTATCTTTTGTTTTGTCTAACATCACCTTCCAATAAACATATATAAACTGTTATATGATAGGTCAAGCTTTTTCTAGTTACCATCTGATTACTTATGTTGCTGCAAGTGAATAATAATCATGTTAGGGAATAAATTAAAATTTTTTTCTAAATTTAATAGTGGGAAAATACATGGTATCCTTCTTTTTTGGGAGTTGGAGGAAGATTTATAGATCATCAGTTTTGTAGTCAACAGACTCTATTTCACATCATTGCACCCCCCCATTGTAACATGATTCATCTCACCTCCTCTCTGTGTTCCCTATATCCAATCGTCCTTCCTTCCTAACCCTTCTAAACGTTTTTCTTTAATAAATGCTACCCTCTTAATCCCAAATTGTTCTAAGATATGCCCACACCAATAGTGTTTTTATTCCTCATATCAGCATGTCTATTGTTTGTCTGAAAATTGAACCATAGGATAAGTTAAGTTCAAGGCAGGACGGGTGACCAGGTCCATGTTCCTGGTGGTTCTACAAGCCTGTGACTGACTAGAAGGCCAAGTCTCCTTCATGATTTTGAGCATTGCCCCACATATTACTTCCACTCTATCATGGACTTTCTAAGGAGATCCGTTTTAGAGGAGTTGAATGTGGAATCCAGGTACCACCTAGTTCTTCTGTTCTCAGGGTTGTGGAGACTAATGCTCACATGAGCCATTGGTCTGTTACATTAATTGTTTCCTTGTATCTTGTTTGCATCACTGTACCTTAGTACTACTGTACCTCAGCTGTACCTTAGTTGATCGGTCATGAACTTTTGAGACCCTGGTTTCTACTCACAAAGTCGGATTTAGAGTGCTCAGATTATGTCAATTGTCCATGGCTTCATTGGAGACTAGGGTCCTGAGCCCCCCAATTCAGCGGTTTCTGGTTTTGTGAAAGTTTTAATAGCTTTGACATGCTCTACCACATTTTTGAATATATTTGCTGCAAAAGTAACTGCCTAAGACATCATCTTTGTTCACTTTCCAATTTGACAAAGTTGCTGCATTAGCTCTTATGTGGTGTGCTTTGTTGAGTTTGTGAGTTAAAAAAATGGTGTTGAGTAATTGGAAAAGAAGTCAGTGATACTGGCTCATTAATCTTCATTTGAGCATTGTTTTCTCTGATCATGCTTTCAGTACTTCTAAGCATTTGAATTCCACCAGCTGTACGTGAGTCATAATCACAATTCAGTTATCTTTCCTTGTAGCACCAGAGGCTCCTTGAAATACTAGACACAGAAAAGGAGTTGTTAAAGGACAAAATAAAGGAAGCTTTGAGTGAACAAGCTAAAGAACAGAAGGTAATATTGTAGGTGGTTCAGAGGGTGGAAGGAATATGCTCTTTTACCTCAATCAATACATTTACTTTCTACCCACTGTCTTATCATTTGCAGGAAATACTAGAAAAATGTTTGGAAGAAGAAAGGCAACGAAATAAGGAGGCATTAGTATCTGCTGCAAAGGTATTTTCATGCGTGATAAATGGGTTTCTTTGTAAGTCGTAGTGTTAAAAAATGAGTTAAATCCATTATTATTGTTATACAAAATTTCATTTCAGAAAAATTCACTTTTATTCCCTATTAAGCTTAAGAAACAGCTGTTCATATTCTTGTAAAAGACCCATTGCTAGAATGTGATGGTAATGAAATGGCTTACATTTATATTATTAATTACTTTTTCAAACGTATGTGTTGAAATACACAAATTTCCACCTGGAATTTGATAAATATTCTCAAGAAAATGTGAACATGCGTGTGTGTGTGTGTGTGTGTGTGTGTGTTTATATCATCAAAATACATGACATTTAAAAGCCAGTTTTAAAATAGCAGATCAAAGTAGTGTATTCATAGATAGTAAATATACATATACCGAGGAATACCATACATAGCATTAACTTTTATGTCGTTTTAAAATTAAATATCCTAAACAAATAATGGTGGCTTTATATGAGACAAACATAGTTCCAAGAATGGAAGTTTAAATATGATTGTGATTTTGCCTTTTCCTTAAGATATTTGCAATTGGGTCAGAAAAATATTATATATGTCAACTAGGACTAATGTATTAAGCTGCTATTCAGGGGTCGGTAGTATGTCCATAGACATGCCATAGACAATTTTAATCCATAAACGATTTGAGTTAGTCTTGAAGGATGGCTAACATCCTCTGAATTGTGAGTGTGAAGTATATCCTGTAGGTAAGGGAGACATATTGAAAATTTTGAATACAAATATGGCAAAGTGATAACTAACCTCAATTTTGGGGAAGTGTAGAAAAATAAAGGCTAGAGGCAGGGAAAGAATGAATAGGCTGCATTAGAATTTTCTCAGTTCTTCAAGAAATTTCTCATGAAATTGATGATGATAATTATGGTGATTTAATCTTTTGCTGTGGTAAATATGTCAAAATCTGGAGATGTAAATTAATATTTTATATAAGATATATTAGTGTGTTTTAAAAGATCTATTCAGGTCAAGAAATACTGTAACCTAGCAGAGCCCCAAAATTTCTATGATTTATTATCTATATATTTGTTTTGAAATTACCTTTTAAGAAACTAACTACTTAAGTTTTGGTGTGGAATCAAAGAACATCAAATTATATGACTGGCTACTAAATGCTCCTTGTTAGGGCTCAGAGAGCACTGACCTGAGCTGCCAGCTGGCTTAGTTGATTAAGACCCAGCCCGTTGCCTTGATAACCCTGCATAAGGTTTTTCGGGCTGTGTGAATCTTTAGGAGCTCAGATGGCCGCATCTTTCTCCCAAGGAGAAGCAGGTGAGTTTGAGCCTTGAGTTAGCAGTGAAGTTTCCCTGACAGTGCCCCCAGGGCTCCTAATTGATTGCGAGCATGAACCTGGAAGAAAGTAACAGCTTTGAAGCAGTTACTACAATAATATAAGCGAGAGAAAGAGAAAGCCCAGAGTGCTGCCATTCCTTCCCCCATGTTATCCCCAGAACAGTACTCGGGCTGTTTAGACCAGTCCAGCAGGCTTCAGTGCACCTGCAGGGAACTATATTACTGCCCAGACCCTCAAATAAAAGGCTCCTGAATTCTGTGGACCCGGGACATGAGAAGTGAGGGAAGGGGAAGAGTTATTCCTGGTAAGTACTGAGTGTTATGTCAGAGTAGGGGAAAGGGCCTGCGTGGTCCTTCCCACTTCTCCCTGACAACGAAGCTTCAACAAAGGTGCTGGAGGAAGACCTTGGCTGACACCGAGGTCTCTTTCTGGAGGTGCTGACTGATGCCTTCAAAAGAGCATGGGTGGGCCAGTCGTGGATATGGGTTGGTGAGCACTGGCTACCCCACCATTCAGAGATGACAGTGGACCAAGTGTGCTTGGGGGCAGTTTCCCACCTGAAGCCTGCTGGATAAAACGTGCAGGGTCAACTTGTTGTTCTTAGGCCCAGACTCCTAATGCCTCCTTGTTCCAGCCACGGATCTGTGTGGCACTCGGTTTGTCCCGACCCACTTGTTGTCAGATGGATTCCAGCTGACTGAAAAACAGCGCTTACCGCTGTTGAGTCACATGTTAAAGTGGTTTAAACTTCTGTAAAACAATGGCCGCCTTCGCTTTTTTTATTTTTGAAAATATAGGTTATGTTTCATAAATGGGTTATATATTATTACTTTTAACTGAATTATTGAACATATGCTTTAATATTTCTTGGTTTGAATTTGTACAATGGTAAATATATATATACAAATTTTAAAAAACCTCTTTGTAATGCTAAATAATTTTTAGGAGTATAAAAGGATTCTGAGACCAAATTGCTTGAAATCTACTTTAAGCTAAGGAGTTTTTATCATTTTGGTTTGGTTTTTTATATTTAGAATGCCATGGAAATTGACAGTAATATTTGTATTAAAAACAAAAATAGATTTGGTTTTGAAGAAGTTATTAAATACGTGTTGAAAACAGCAGTGTCAGAAACCAGCCCCAGATGATCAAAGGTTTTGTCTTCTATCTTTATCCAAGTCTGTCTGTCTCAGGGAATTATTGCTCAGTCACCCATTCTCTTGTAATTTCATTGGTCATTATTTATCTTGAAGCTTGAGAAAGAAGCAGTGCAGGATGCAGTTTTAAAAGCCATTGAAGAAGAGCGAAAAAATGTGGAAAAAGCACATGCTGAAGAAAGAGAATTATGGAAGACTGAACATGCAAAAGATCAAGAACAAGTATCTCAGGAGATTCAAAAAGCTATACAAGAACAAAGTAAAATAAGTCAGGTTCGTTCTTTGGAAATATATTCTTTGAAAATATTTATGCTTCTTAAAGTACCTTTACCATTGTTTTGTCTTATACATTTTAGTGAACACTGCAGTACTTAATATTTTTGTCTATATTAATATTTTTAAACTACCAATTTGCAATATTTTAGTGTGCTTTTCTCACTCCCATATTAAAAACTCGGTAACATTTAATTTTACTCATTATTCTACTTTCGAGGCAACCACAATCCAAAATTATTAAATCATGGCAACAACATTCACTCTCCTGTTGATCATGCTAGATTTACATATAATTATAAGTGTGATTTATATTTCCATATACCTTTAATTTTTTAGCAAAACTCAATTTGCTAAAACTCAACTGTTGTTATTGTGGCAGATGGATCTTTTCTAACTCATAGAAACCTTCTGAACAACAAAACAAAACTCTGCCCAGTTGCAATTCGTAGCATTTTCATTGGCTAGTTTTTAAAAAGGTAGATTGCCAGGTCTTTCTTAGTCTGTCTTTACCTTGAAGCTCTGCTGCATCAGCTCCACCACCTGTGACCCTGCTGGTATTTGAAATATCAGTGACCTACGAGTGGATACTCCCCAAACAACCTTCAAATTAGTCTCCATTCACTTAATACATTTGTTAAATCTGCAATTTCATTTTTGGAAACATTTTTCAAACTCATTTGTTTGGATGGTTCTGGGACAGCGCCTCCCTCTTGTTTTTCTTCGCCTTGCCTATGTGGTCAAATCACTGTCCTTTCATGTCCCTCTTCAGTCATAGAAACAAAAAGGAGTAGCATAGAGCAAGGTCAGTTGAATAAGGTGCATGGGGCAAGAGAGCCATGCTGTTGTTTGCTCAAAATTGGCACAGTGAGATGGCTGTGTGAGCAGGTGCATTTTCGTGGTGGCAAAACCAATTCCCTGTCAACCACAAATCAGGCCTCTTTTGTCGCACACTGTTATGCAATCTTTTCAAAACCTCTAAATAGAAAGTGTGATTACAGTCTGACCTGGTGGAACAAACTCCAAATGTACTATTCCCCTTACATCAAAAACCAAATAAGCATCATCTTGATCTCATTTTACTTGAGCCTTTTTTGGGAAAGGTGACGATGGCACCTTCCACTGGCTTGATTGATGTTTGCTTTCAGGGTCGTCGGAATAGCTCCATGTCTCCTCACCTTGGGAAAAAAAGTCTGGGCTGTTTGGGAGCTGTTATTTCAAAGCACAGCATGTTTCCATTTGATGCTCTTTTTCCTGGTCAGTCACAGTCTAAGACACAAATATCGCAGTGGCCCTTCTCATTCCCTAATCTGATAAAAATTCACTGAACGGAGCTCCAAAATAGTCCAGATTACTTCCCCATCTCTTCAGTGGTCCATCATTTATCTTCAAGAACAAATGCGTGAATTTTGTTGACATTTTTGTCTGTTGGGGAAGTTGATGGACGTTCTAAACAAGGTTTGTCAGTAATTGACATTTCACATTTTTTGAAATGAAAAAAAAAAACACTAATTGAGTTTTTTCCAAAGTGCTGTCCTGGTAAGCTGTGTTCAACATCACAACAGTTTCTGTGGCATTTTTCCTGAGCAGGAAACAAAATATCATAGCCGCACTGTTCTCTTAAATTGGCCATCACAAAAACCAAGGTTCTGAGAAAAACTTATCTTACAAAATAATTCACTGTGACCAGAGAGAACCTTCCCAGGTGATGCCAGTGGGTGCACTAACTCAGAGTGAGTTCCTAGTTGCTCGCCCAGTATACTAGAAAGCTCTGCCCATAGGAACATTTATCTGATTTTTTTTGGGAGGTGGGGTGTACCCCCTCGTAGCTTCCAGCATCACAGCAATATGGAAATAGTACAAAGTACAATAAACTGACAGACACGTGGTGGAATAATTAGCACTTCATAAACAATGGCTATGGTCTTAAAAAGGATATATACAGTTCACCAAGTCTGACCTACGTATAAAATAATTTTTAATTACTTAGTTCATTATTTTGAAACACTGCATTAATTTTATTATCAATAATTGAATCTTTCTTTATATTCACAAAGAATACTTGAATAAGTATTCCCCTAAGCAAGTATAAAAAATGAAAGTCTTTTTTTCATATGGAAGAACAATGTTTATTTGACCGAGCAATTATCGATATAGCTAAGATGACTAACCTCTTAAGACACACAATGGAAGATTTCTTATAGACCCAATAAGTCATCTTGATGAAGCCCTAAAATCCAGTGATCCAAATATTTTATTTTGTATTGTATGCCTAATTCCTCTGTACTTTTTGTTCACTGTACAGCTTTTACATGCATGTGAGTCACTTGAAAGAAAATACTATGGCTTCGGTCAGGCACAGCAGAGTCCTCTCAGTGGCATCTTTGCTTTTTAGAACGTGTGTCGCAGGTTAGCCAATGCGTTACTTTGGTTTCTCACTGCTGATTCCATGAGTGTTGATTATGGATCCAAGTGAAGTGAAATCCTTGATAACGTCCATCTTTTTTCTGTTTATCATGATACTCCTTAGAGGTCCACTTGTGACCATTTTTATTTTCTTTACATTGAATTGTAAACTATAGTGAGGGTGTTGATCTTCGTTAGTAAGTGCTGTAAGTCCTCTTTGCTTTCAGCAAACAAGGTTGTGTCATCTCATATTTCTGCTTATTACTGTGCCTCTGATTCTGAGACTGCATTCTTCTTCAGGTTTAACTTTTTAGATTACTTGCTCAGCCTTCAGATTTAATAATGAAAGAATGTAACTCTGAGCCAGACCTTTGCTCATTTTAAACTATGTAGTTATTGCTTGTTCTATTTGTACAACTGCCTCTTACTCTGTGTATAGGTTCTGCACAAGCATAGTGTAGTGGCCCGGAATTTCCATTTAGTGTACAATGTTATACATAGTTTGATCCTACAAGCCAGTGAGAATTATTTCAAGTGTCTCTTCTAGCTATAGTCGTTGTAACTTCTACCAAACCAACTTTTCCTGGTGGGTCTAGGTTGAGGACACTAGGATTTGATTCATTTATGAGTTCCTGTTAACATGATACATTGTGATCACCATCCTGCTGGGTGTAAAACAAGCTCTCTCGGAAGCAGGAGGGTGTTCGCGGCATATAACTACCAGCAAGAGCCAGGAATAGAGTTGGTCCTCTGGACCATGAGATTCCCTACACAGTGAAGCTCCTTGATACAGGAGACAGCTGTGATATCAGAGCAGTGTCAGAGGAGGAGCAGTGCACATGGAGGCCGACTATGAGACAGATTGCTGGAATTCCCAGCTCACAAAGCAAGTAAATCTGAGTGTTTGGGGCAAGAGGCTGGGTTGTGGAATGGGATCCTCTGGCGGAAGCCAAGTCTGCTGACCCGGGATTGGAGCTGAGTATCTTTGCATTGAGGCTTACAGTGGAGGAAATGCATGCTCTTTCTGCATTTATTAGCAACCCCGGAAGAACTATGTGACATATTCCGACTGAAAAATTATATCCTGAGCATTTCTAACCTGCGTTTTAACGTGTTACCTTCCATGATAAACCCCATAACCATGTGCATTTCCTATGAGCTGTGTGTGACCATTGGGATGGATCAGAGGACCAAGCAATTAAAGCAGAGTATTGTGTGAGACAGATCAGATCCACACAAATGCCTTTGCATAGTCAGTAAAGCACAAGTAAACGTCTTTCTGATATTCTCTGCTTTCAGCCAGGATTGATTTTGCATTGGCAAAATGATATCTCTTGTTCCAGTTTCTCTCCTTAGTACTGCTGGAATTTCTAGTAGTTCCCTATCAATGCAACCATTTTTGAATTATCTTCAGCAAACTTGTACTTGATTCTGACATTAATAATACTGGTTTTTATATTTAATTTTCCACAAACTGTGTGGCCACCTTTCTTTGATATGGGCACAGCTAAGGATCTGTTTCAGTCATTGGTTGTCTAGTTGTCTTCCGCATTTCTTGGTATAGACAAGAAGTGTGTGCTTCCCATGGTACATCAATTGGTGGAAACATTTTGAATGACATTCTGTCCGTTTCTGGAGCCTTGGTTTTTGCTAATGCCTTCAGTGAAGCTTGGAATTCTCTCTCCTATACCATCAGTTCTGGATCATATGCTACCTCTTGAAATAGTTTATAATTGGTTAACTATTTGTTATTTTCTTTTGGTAAGTGGACTTTGTGTAATCTCCTATAATCTTTTTATGCTTCCTGCATCATTCAATATTATACCCTTAGAATCCTTCAGTATTACAACTTAAGGCTTGAGTTTTTCCTTCAGTTCTTCCAGCTTGAGATATACTAAGCATTTCCTAACATTTTGCTCTTCCTTCATTAGTGTTCAGTCAGTAAAATCTGTTTTGGGATCATCTGTAAAGGTTACATTTTGGTTCTATCAGGCTGGTTTTACTGTACTACAGCTCCAACTTGAAGTTATGTATGACTAATTAATGACTTGTTGCAAAGGGAGCCCCTGGCTTGTTTTGGCTGATGATTTTGAGCCTCTTTATTGTTTGTTTTCACAAATGCACTTTTGTCTGTTTCTACAAGTTTAGATAATTTGATTCCTGTGTAGCTACAGAGTTGGTCTTTATGTTAGGTTTTTGCAGTGAAGAAATCTCTGTTCTTGTAAAATTTTCTCAGATGATCTTCACCTTTGTTTTTATCACCAACACCATAGATTCCAGTTACTGAACCTTTCTCATTGTTTCTAACTTTTATTCCAGTCACCAGTAATCATGCTCAATAAATTTCAGACTGACAATGCTGGTAGAATTCTTCAATTTTTTTTCATTACTGCCTTTTGTGGTGCATAAATTTGAGTTGATTGTATTATTAACTGATCTTTTTATAGCCTGTAGCTATTATTCTATCATAGATAGTGTTACATTTCCAGATACCTCTTGAAATATTCTTTTTTAAATGGTAAATGTGATATCAGCCCACTTGAATTTGTCATTTCAGGCAAAGTAGGCCATATGACTGTCTGATTCACAATGGC